GCTTTAATTACCAATTCCAAGAGGGCTTGGTCTTTTTGATCCATTCCCATTTTGTCATTCTGCAAAATGTGTTTCTTGCATGAAGGTGGCCGTGCAAGACACTGGGATGCTAAAGAGAAAGACTGAGGGGTCGCCCACCTGTTACTGTCTCCCAGCGCTCTGGTGTATATAGGAAAAATAACCCAACAGTACTAAAGGCCTTTGTGGTAAGCTTTTTGTGCCTTAGAGAATTGAATGTTTGCAGTAAGTTTGATTCCCAAAATGAGTTTCCTTTCCTGGAAGTTTTTTTTGGGGGGGTAATAAAGAGTAGTATGGGAGTTGAATGGAGAATAGCAGTACCACCACAGAGGAGAGTATGACATTTTAAAATCCAGAGACTCACTGGACATGGTCACGCATGCCTGTAACCAGTACTTGGGAGGCTGGAGCAGGGGGATCACTGTGAGTTTGCGGCCAGCCTGGGCTACATAGTGATTTCAAGGCCATCCTGGATTACACAGAGAGACCCTGTTTCAACAAACTAAAATCCAGTGACTTTATTGTATTATGCACTAGTGGAAATCTTTTGGGCAATACCATGTCTATTTCTCTAATCTACAAAAAATTTCTAGCTGGGGTTGTAGGCCTACAGTAAGGCTTGATCAAGAGGTTGAAAAATGTGGATAGAACTAGGGAAAACTCTGGATGGCCTTCAAGTACACAAATCAGAAATCTCTTTGGGAAAAATCAGGTGAGAAGCAATGCGCCTAAACTATAAGCTTTGGGGTATTATTGACATAAATGTTTCCTAAATCGATAATCCTTACAACGAATTGCCAAGAAACATGTTATATAAATCCTTAAAGAACATGAGGTCTGTCCTTAAGATGTGACAACTCGTTGCTTAGATCAGTTCTGTTCTGTTGATGAAATATGAATTTAATAATAATGGTTTTTCTATCTTTTCACTAGAACTAATGACTATTGATGCATATTTATAACTATATATTTGAATTTTAAAATAATTCCACAACTTATTAATATATGCCTTGATCAATTATAAACACTAAAATTACTGAGCTTGAAAAGGGAAAGCATGAAAATAAATACCATTTCTTCATTTTATACAAATTACATCCACCATTGCATGTATGTGTTACAAGTCCACTTAACTCACATCACATCACTGTGTAGCAATAATCTAAACACCAGTTATGTTTAAGAAGAAGCCAGAGATAAGAATGCTTCATTTTTTTTGGAGAAATCATTTATCAAATATGAGATAAAATTCACTTTATATAAAAAATATGAAAATAATTATATTCCATTGCCGTGCTAGCTTTATTACTGTTAGATAAGGCCACAGTATTTATACTATCTCTAAAAAAAATGTTGAGTTTGAATAGACCTGAAGATCTTATAGTGAGTCCTGTGATTTTATAATCGAGAGAAACACAGATTTAGAGTTGGTGCCCAGACACAGCAGGCTGTACGTGGAAGCAGAAGCAGAGGAGGCTCTCCTGATTTTTTTCTTTGGGGTACTGGGGATCAAACTCAAGCCCTTGTGCTTGCAAGGCAGGCAGCGGAGCCACTGAGCCAAATCCCTGGCCCCTAGGCGCTCCTGATTTCAGCCCAGGGTGTGTTCTGCTGTAACGTGCTGACCAGAATCCCAAGAGCGGGATTTTGAGAAGGGTGGTGAAGACCCTTGGTGAGAATGACAATAAGAGAAGATACTTCACTCATACCCATGAGGTAAAAGCTGGTTGTGACCAGTAGAAAATTGAAGGAGAGCTTGGCCAAAAACCTTTGGTTCACAGCATCAGCTCTGCTGTGTACATGGGACTGTGCTGAAAGGTGGCCTTTTCAATATTAAAGGCTGTATGAAGCAAATATTTTAGAACTTGAGCTGCAACTTTCAATAAAGGCAAATGGCTAGCATTTGTTGGTGTGTACTCTGCACACATTGCTAAGTTCTTTGCACTTTTTCATGTGGTCCTCACTCTACTGTGTGAGGTAATAGTACTCCACAGAATATTCTAGAATATTCGAGAAAAATGAAAGACTGTGAGCTCAACTAAGGTGTCTCTCATAACAGTTCCTACACTTTTGACATTAGATTGTTCCTTTCCTCAACCCACAGCTCTATCATCATATTTTGAAAAAAAAAAAAATCGAGACCAAAAAACGGTGTTGTAAACTTAAAGGTGACATATAAAGTCAAACTGATCCCAGGCCCTCTGCCAAAAAATTTTGGATGGGAGGAAAACAATGACAGAGCTCTTTAGAATTTGGAGAAACTATTAATTTGAGATAAGTATGGAAGATCACAGGCTAGATTGTCATACCAAACAGTTGATATATGGACTTCAGGTTATCTCAGAAATTTTAGAATGTTTCATTAAATTTTCCTGTGAGTTATGCTATGTAAGGTATTTATTAGTTCAAGATTTCATGGACTTAATGTACTTAGGAAGGTTTAGCTGTGTACAAATTGTTCATATTGATGCCTAAGAGTTACTAATAGAAGTTCTTTTCTTGAATGTTGATTACCTATTTGTCAAGAATAGCCAGAAGTATTTTGGTTTTTTAGATGTTCTGGTTAACTGAGAAGTACTCTAAATGCTTTCTCAGTTTTTAAAAAGGAATAGAAATGTGAAGTGCTCCATAGTTTCCAAACTATTTTTTTTTGACACTGATTTAACTTTTCTTTGATTTACAAAACCTCAAGGCCTGATAGGGTTAGTTTCATTTCAGTGGCTTGAATCCCACAGAAACACTTTCTTGTTCTAACTCCAGCCATCAAGGTTAACTAAGAAACATTCTGAAGTTCTGTAAGTGGAGCCACTGAACATTTGAATGTGTCCCATTTTGGGGAAACAGACCACTCACTGCCTTTGAGCGTATCACAGGACTGTGACATATATCATGTAGGACGCTGTGACACAGAGAAAAAGCACAAGGGTGGGTGGTGTGGGTGGGGTGGGTTCCAAGAAGCTCTGTGTGGCTTGAAGTTGCCATTTCATCTCACTGAACCCTTTCGGGATTAACAAAGTGAGACCAGCACTGCCTCTTTCATGGGCTAGCTGAGGATTAAATAATGAAGAAGGCGAAAACACTTGACAAGCATTGTTAGTATTCTTTAAACATTTGAATGTACAGGCCCTGCCTTTTTTGCATGACTTTTTCTTCCACCCGCTGAGAGAGGAATACATCGCTTATAATGGCATTTACTAATACTGATAGTGGGTTGAGGCTATGAGAAAATTAGTGCTACCACTCTCTTCTCAGATCTTGCTCTCCACTATGCCCCTTCCCTGATGGAATTGTACACTGTTAATTCACAGTAAGAGGGAACCTGAGATTGGAATCCTGAGACTGTAGGCTTCAGGGGCAAGCAGAGATTAGAGGTCTCTCCTCTCTGTCTTCTCCCCTCTCTCCTTTACTTTTAAACCCTAGACAGCCTTCCATTCCAAGACCCTCAACAACCTCCTATGCCCTGAAGATCCCAAACACTCATCCCCAGCTTACAAGCTATTCATTCCAGAACCACGTTTGTAGCCCTCCTAGTGACCTTCTCTTACAGATTTCAAAAGCTCCTGAAAAAGAGACCCCAGGTGTATAGAACTAAACTCACTGTTTTACCCTCTCACTCTGTTTGAGCTTCCTTTAGGACTCTTCATCCAGAGAAATGGCGCAGGGATTCTGGAGCTGGAGTCCCACTTAGCAGTTAATGACTCGGTGGGCTTGTCTCGATTATTTATCCTTGTCGCCTCATTTCCCTCCTCTGTCAAATGGATACCAATCTCCAGGTGAATTGCCTACCTGAGATCATACATCTGAATCAGTTAGGAAACAGTGTCTGGGCTTTGCAATAAGTGACACACACTGTTATTACTAAAAATATGCTTGAGCCGTTCACCCAAGAACCACATCGTCCTCCTTCCCTCAGCATTCCGCTCCCACCTAACAAGTCCCCGTGCTCTTGGAATCCTGTCTGCCACCGCAGCACTACCTCCTCATCCATCAAGGCCCGATTCATGCAGGCTGTGACCTTCTCTTGTCCAGATCATTATGCCAGCCTTTCTGTCTCCAGTCTCACCTTCTGCCTTCCCACTGCCTTGCTGCCTGGGCAGAAGTGTTCTTCAGTGTCTCCTGTTGGTTTTATAATGAAGGCCAGCCTTTTAAGTTTGCTGCTCTTGGCCCTCTGTGACTTGTGTCCCGCTTATCCTCACCTGTAGGATCCCACAGGCCCTAGCACTTCAGTCCCAGCGTGACAGCTGCTCGTAATTCCATGCCTAGACCTGATGGTTCCTTCTTCCTTGTTTCCTCTCTTCTTAACTAAGCTAACATCTGCTCATCTTAGGCAGAGCTCCTCCATTGCTTCATCTTAGAGACAACACCTGACCACTCTTGACTGAGCTCCTTGCCCCTTCACCTGCCCTCTTGCCGTGCTAACACTTTGCATAGGTGCATCTCTCCCTTCTCCTCTCTGTCCCCCCACCTTCCTCTCCCTCCCATCCCTGGGGTGGAAGCCAAGACCTTCACACTGAGCTACACCCCCAGCCCTTTTTCATATTTTTTAATTCATTAAGCTTATTGGTACCTTTTAAGTATACAACATGGTGACATTCATCATTGGGTATGTGTACCTTTACATGATGTATCTTGGTTCTTATTTTTCCTTTTTGTATTTTTTATTTTATAACAGGGCTACACTAAGTTGCTAAATTCACCAAGTTGGGTGCAGGCTTGTGATTCTCCTGCCATTGCCTTCCAGAGTGCTGGTATCACAGTATACACTGGCGGCACATATGTGTTTTCCAGCACTTAGCATGCATAACTTATTTTTCTTGATCGTGCCCCTCGCTAAATTGTGAGCTGTTGACATCTCATGCATTTTGGTTTCTCATTCATCTTTAGATCCATCATAAGAAGCACATTTCTTAATGTGTAGTTTCTGGTTAATAACTTCACAGCTGAATAAAGCTAGGATTCTACCAGACAAAGTAGAATCAGAGAAAGTTGATGGCATTAACCAGCAGAATTAGAAGTGAAGAAATCGTGCAAACACCACTATTGGGTAGAGCCAAGACTGGAAGATAACAAAGAAGCTAGAATCTGGGACCTAGTGTGATATTCTCTACTAGAGGACAGAAGCAGGAAGACCGAGGGTGAGTATTATTCTCTCTTACTGTCCTTGGCTTTAAGGAACTTGGTCTCTTGAGAGAGAAATACCCAAAGGGAGGAAAGGATCTATTCTAACAACATAGTGCTGTTTAAAAAGGTGTGTACCCACTGTTACTGTATTTAAACTGAAGTAAATGTTCAACAGATGAGTCACGTACTGCTTGTGGGCTGGGAATAACCCACTTGGGCATCAGAGGTGGCTTGCAGTAGGCAGTTGTTTTACATCCGTCTAAAGGCCACAGTGTCAGTGTGCCATCACAGAAGGACCCTGGCTGAGGGTTATGGCTGGCAGGCCCGGCCGTCTTGGGATCACATCGCCTCAGCTATGAAACGAGCCAGTGTTTTGCCATTTTCTACATAAGCATAATGTTTGGACTAGTTTTCAGCTGAAAACAATAGTCTCAAGAGTCCTTTTTCAGGAAGATTATTTTTCAGACCTGTCATATAAAGCAAAAAAACAGCATACAGTTTTCTCAGCACTAAGGAGATGAACAAAACATCATCTAGTAACATCACTGACCATCTAAACCATGGCTTCTTCAAAGGAACCTCTTTCTCTTTGGTCAAGGGAACACACTCTATGTTGCTCAAATATGGGTTTTGTAAAATCATGTTGGAAACATCCTCAACCCAGCTTATTTATTGGAACCCCATTCCACCTTCATAAGTTTAGAATGGTGTGAGTTTCCATGCCCACTGGCATCTGCTGCTTTACTGACGCAGTGGAGTAGCCATGAAGCCCATCCCCGGTTGTATTTATGCATTCAGTCGGCTGGATTTGTGATTTCACAATTAGAGTTTGAAATCAATCTTTGTCCTTCTCTCAGAGATCTTTTACCCACCCCTGAAGACTTGGGTCTTGACTATCTTTCATCAGGACAGCTGAGGTCCTTCTCTTTAAGCCTGAGGCTGCTTAGAGGGAAATGCAGAACCGATAAGCAGGAAGGGACCTTGATCAAGGCTTCATAGGAGCTTTGCAGCTTCACAACTGTCACATCGAAATTCCCTTGCACTCCCACAAAAGGGAATGCACGCTTCTTCCAGCCCAGCAGGTTCCTGCGGAAACCTGGAATGCATCCCTGTAAATAGTGGGAGTAGCAGGGATGGAGGAACTTTCTTCTCTCCCCATGCTGCTTCTGCTCTGGCAGAGGCTGGGGTTGGCAGGGGTGCCCGCCTCTGCACAGTCTGCTCTGGGAGTGGGGGATTCCTCTTACTTCCAATTACCAGTGTCTTTGTACGTGGGAGGACATTTTTTGGCAGGAATTCTCTTTATCTCTCCGTGTCTGGCTGACAACGCCCTTCCTAATTTATTTTTCAGCACCCAATATGCATTTGTTAAGATGTCAAAAGGTAGATGCAAAGCACTGAGGTGAAAATAGAATTTACATTCTGAAGTTTCTAGGAGTCACAGATATTAGAAGCTCTTTTTTTGGAATAGAGGGTATGACAGGGTAAAGAGTTGAGTGAGCATGATTTACTCACCTTCTTGCAAATATTCCAAGGTTCTCTGATTCTTAGTGAATCAGAGGATTCCAAATTTGTACAAGAGTATGGATTTGAAAGTTTGTGTTGTCTGTTTCCTTCACTTCCCAGCTGTGGAAATTAAAGTCAGGAACAGTTAATGCTAGGGCCAAGTTAATGCTAGGATCCTGGTCCTTTGTCTTAGATTATATTCATGACATCACAATGTCTTAAAAATAGTAAGCACTTGGGAAATATGTCCTGGGTATATTTATCTCCATAGTTCCTTTCTGCATATAGGATTAGAAAAAAAATGACCTCTTCCTTTTTGTTCTCCAAAAAACTCTTGATAAGCCAGAGTTGTACTGGTTAGATTCCCCCCCTCCACCCCCGCTATCAGGGATTGAACTCAGGACCTTGTACCTAGTGAGGCAGGCGGTGGAACCACTGAATTAAAATCCCCAGCCCAAGGTGTGCTGGTTGGATTGGTTCTAATTCTTGCAGCTGGATCGAGTTACCTGGGAAAGGGTCACTTTAGTATTTTTTCCCTTTCCCAGTTGGACAGAACGCTTAGACGAAATGCCAGCCAGCTGATACATGTCAAAATCAATCTGCAATTTAGAGGCTGTGGAAAAGGAGTTCTAATCGCCGGCCATGGACAGTCTGTTCTGTTATACAATCTGAATCATTAATAGCAGATCTGTGAACGCATACTCAGGAAGAACGGCTCTCGCAAATTGTTTTCTCAGAGGGAATGGTTATATAAACCACTCATTTGATTGAAAGTAGCCCTAAAAATATTGCAGGTCCTGGCTGAGAATATTAAGTATTCATTTAAGTAATGATAATAAAAAAAAGATTCTAAACGTGTTGTTAGGAAGTGATGTTTTAAAATAAGTAAAATATGGGAAGAAAAACTATGTTTCTGTTCATAGTAATTGCTTTTGGATTCACTAGTCTTCAAGAGGTTTTGCCTGTAATGATGATGGACCAGGCCCGCTCCAGACACCCAGGACCAGATTGTGTTACGCAGGCAGAGAGGCAACTCAAGCTGGGTAAAGTCTGACTGAATTTGAGGCCCATGTTACACTGAGTGGCAGTTCGGAGCCCTTCGACAGTCGTGCTCTGCTCATTTAAGATGACTGTTTTGTGGCAGTGGCAGTTCAAAAGAGGGCATAGATTGCCTGCTTGTCGTGGTGTTTTAATGGCAAGAGATCAACACTTTCGCACTCTCTGAAGTAAATATGAGAGTAGTGTGAAGGAACATTTGGTGTCAGAGTGGTAGTCACTGAAAAGTATTAAATATCCTTTAGTTGGCAATCAGTGCACAAGCTTAAAAGAATCAACTGAAGCTTCAAAAAAAATTCTTCACTCTCCAATTTTTTTTTTTTTTATTTAATGTTTCCAGTCTGTGTGGACTCGAAGCCAGCAGTTTTCAAGCTAGTAGTGGATGTTAGTACAAATGTTAGTGATGACACGAGAAATAACATATTTTGTTAATGTATTCTTTGCTGTTATTTTTGTTAGAGCTTTGAAAAATTGCAAAGGATTTACTTTGGATTCTGACTACCTTTTTTTTTTTTCAAAAAAAAAATGAAAACTACTTGAAATTCAAGAGATAAATGTCATAAAAATGAAATTCTCAAGAGGAAAAAAAGAGTTGATTTTTATTGTTTAGTCTTATGAAAAATGCTTCAAGAAAAACAAAATCAGATAATTTAGAAAAGTCAAATAAAAATCAATAGCTTCTGTCTTTATTGATACTGACTATTCATAGTCTGAGCATATTTTCTGATTAAAAAAACACAAAAAATAGACATTATATAAATATAGGTACACATTTATTTATTCATTCGCGATTATCATTCTAAGGGTAAATTGTTCCTTTTGTAATGTATTTAGCACAGATTGGATTACTATATGCCTTTTGATCTCACGTTTTATATTTGATAGTGAAATGCTTCAGTGCACAGAAACATACAAAGAATCAGAAACACCTACATACCCATCACTCAGACTTAATTTACCATTTGGCCATATAAAAATACTTTAAAATAGGTTTTACATTTTTATTTTGTTTACAGTACATAATGACTGCCTTCCTCATGGGGGGGGGTTGGCACATGTCCGTAACACATCATTCTTTTCATGCCCTCCAATAACGTGGTCCTCTCCCCATTGCAAAAAAATCTATGTCATGAAAAATATAATAATAGGTACAGAAGGCACTGGGGACAGCCCTCCCCACTTCCTGTGCTCCTCAGAAGTGACTGGTACCTTTAGTTTTTGCTTTATACACCTGTATCTATGCTTATTTAGACAATTGCCCTGTGTGTTTTTAAATTTACATAAATGGTATTCCATGTGCCCCTTGCCCATTTTGTCATTACGTATTGTACTCGGGAATTTAACCAGATGGTTAAATAGTGTCTCTAGTTGATGATTTAAACTGCTCTGTAGCTTTAGATGACACAATTATAAATTGATGGATAGTTCATTTCTTCCCAACTTTTCCACATTAAAAATGATACTGCAGCACACTTCTTATCTCCTTCTACCTCCATATAAGATTTCTCTGGGACTTATACTTGAAAGTAGAATTGTAGATTAAGGTCAGCTTCAAATTTACTACTAATCGCAAATTTGAATTTACACCCCCACTAGCATGTATCAATTTTGTGTAGTAGTCTATTTCACTTTCTGTCTCTCTCTCTCTCTCTCTTTTTTTTTTTTTTTTTTTTTTTTTTTTTTTGTACCAGGGGTTGAACTCAGGACTTGTAAGGCAGGAGGCAGAACTACTGAGCTAAATCCCCAGCCCTTCACTTTCTCTATTTTGAACCCATGTTGTCAGATGAATTCAGATCTGGGATTATTTTATTCTAATGGTAAATTGTTCCATTTGTCATTGCATTAGTAACTATTTTCATCCTTAATATCTTTTTTTCTTTACAGTCTATTTTGTGTAGTCTTAATATTGCTATTTCAGCTTTATTTTTCCATTTTTTATGTCATTTCTGTTTTAAATTTGTGCTTTTTTTTCTTAATCGAATCTGAAAGTCTGTGGTTTTTATTTTTTATTTTTAAAAATTTTTTATTTTTGGTACCGAGGATTGAACTCGGGTCCTTGCGCTTGCAAAGCAGGCCACCAAACCGCTAAGCTAAATCCCCGGCCCTACTCTGTGGTTTTTAGCTGTTAAAAATTTAATGTGTTGGACTTTATTATAATGATGGACATATTTTAATTTTTTTTCATCATATTTTCTGCTCTCTTCACTGGGATTTTTATACTTACTCCCTTAGTTACCTTTTCATGGCTTTCATTTTTCCCTTCTGCTGCTTGGACAATTATGTGTTTTATTGCTATAAAAGTAGTATATTTTAGTGAGTTATCCCTAACTGTTTAACTGCACAATCTAAAGTCACTGGCTAGTGCTACCTTTCCTGTAAATAACACAGGGGCTTTATAGTGATTTAATTCCACTTTTTGCTTCTCCTTGCTTTTATTTTCCCTAAGGCATCACCT